GCCCTTCAGCACATTCCTGGAGTCCTTTTTAGCCCTCAGATCGAATATAGAGATTATTTAACCTCACAATTTATCGATAGAGGTCCCCTCTTATACAGAAAAAAATTAAATTAATGGTCAGTACAGGCCTTCACTTTATACGGAACTTTTCAAAAATTCTGACATTTTATATATGGATATAGAATAACATCGAGAAAACTTTCCAGAGGCCTTCTACAGGTCCTCAAAATATATTTTTTCCATAATAAAAAGAAATAATTCATCTCTTCTCCCTTTCAGACAATCTACGTTGCTCGCAACTGCAAGGATGTCATAGTGTCATCCTATCATTTCCTGAAAAATCTGCAGCAATGGCGTGGTGATAATATCGAAGATTTCGTTACCGATTTCCTCAATGATGAAATTTATTATAGCAATTTTTGGACTCATATTGTGGACTTTTGGAAAATGCGAAACGAAGAACATATTTTCTTTGTCACCTACGAGGAGATGAAACGTGATTTGGGTGTGGTCATTAAGAGATTATGCACCTTTTTGGGTAGACCCCAGCTGACCGAGGAGGAAATGCAACAGACATTGGATTATTTGTCGTTTAATAAAATGAAAGGTAAATGTGAAATTAAAAAAAAACACAAATTTAAAATCGATATTTAATATTCGAAATTATCTTTCAGTTAATGATAAAACAAATATCACCACTGCCCTGAAGCAAAATGCTCCCGACGCCAAGGAAGATTTTCAGTAAGTAAAGAAAAATATATGTGAGATTACTGTGAGACTTCTCTACAATGAAGCTGGGGGACCGATGGATATGTACCTCGAAAAGAGATTATTTTGTGTGAGAATCTATATCAGGTTTCTTAAATCGTTTGGGATAATTATTCATGATGTTCGATGTAGAGAAGTTCGACTGTATCCTTAAAAAAATATTCCTTTGTGTAGGATATTTCTTTATATATTTTTATATATTTTTTTTTAAATACTTTTTTTTCAGATTTATGAGACGTGGCATTGTCGGCTCCTACAAGGATGAATTGACCCCAGAATTGCAAGCCAAAATTGATGACTGGTCACGTAAAACATTGGCTCAATATGGTCTAACGGAAGAGGATATTTTTGGCAAATTGTAAATTACAACTTTTTTAGTTTCTAAGATTAAATTAATTAGTGATAAGTTCGGATTTCAATACGAATTGGAAATAAATGTTAATTAAAAAATAAAAAAAAAATTCTAGAGACCTTCAATAGGCGGAGATTTTTTTAGGGACCTTCATTTATATATATTCTTCATATATATTTTTCTAGTGGCCTATTTATAGACGTGGATTTTTATACCTTACACAACTATTTTGTCAGGGTATTATTGCTTTGTGCATTCCCAAGAGTTTGTAACGCCGCGAAATATTGGTTCTAGACCCACCTTTAAGTATATCGATCGTCATATCTCGACTTGCTGAGTCGATCTAGACAAGTGTGTCCGTCCGTCCATCTGTCTATTATCTTCACGATATTTTGCATGTAGGAAGGGTTCTGCCCAATGAAGATCTCTATTGGGTTTGATAAAGATCGATTTATATTTAGGGGATGAAATGGAACAAAAACTTTATTTTTGTTTGATTTTCTGGTCGCTCCTGATGCCGCAATTATGGCCCGAACATCGCGAAGTTTTTCATGGAGAAGGAAATCGGGCCAAAAAATAAGCCTGCCTGTTTTGGTAAAGATAGACCAATATTTACCGTGTCAAATGGACCCTGACTTTTGTGTAAAAATTTACATTAAATTTGAATTCTATGGCGAATAAATTTAACCCTGAAGGGCATAGACCCGAGAAGTTGACAGTATATCCAAGAGGAGTGGTTGACCTTTAAATTGGATTCAATTATATTGTCGTATGTACTCAGATGTGGGAGTTACACGTAAATATATACAGGTGCTTATGTATTCAGATATTATTTAGTAACCCATTACCACACTAGAGGGCGAAAATATAGCGCTGATCGCATTGAAATTTTCCATCAGGATTCAGGAATTGTCAAGGACATCGCCTATAATTTTCGGTGATGATCAGATAATAATATTGGGATGAAGTGGGCCGACAACTTTTTGTGTTCGAGTCGATCTATAGGCCACAATTAAAGGCTGAACATCGCAATACAACCCACGGTGAAGGGAATCTAGACAAGTAATTAGAAGGGCTGTACTGAATATTATTAATATTTCTTGACTTCTATTCTGTCAGGAGAGTGCAAATATCGCGAAATATTGTCCAAGTTCAGAATATATAACCACAGAAAATTCGATTTTCGTGGCAGTTGTGTGGGGAATTATATGGTCGGCCCCGTCCGACTATACTGCTCCGCGCACTGGTTTAAAAATATTTTTAAGAGCAGTTAAGGCGTGGATTTTTTAAAAATTTTTTTCTGGAGCCCCAGAAGGCGTGGATTTAAAAAAAAATATTTTTCTGGAGTCCCAGAAGGCGTGGATTTAAAAAAAAAAATATTTTTCTGAAGTCCCAGAAGGCGTGGATTTAAAAAAAAAATATTTTTTAGCGACCCTCTAAAAGACGTGGATTTTTTATTCATATATTTATGAAAACGAAAATTAATTTAGTCACATAACCGATTCCTTTTCTGATTTCAAATTTGAGATGCCATAGGTCATGACGCACAAAATTTGACAATATTAAAAAAAACTTATATTGAATGCAAGGATGACAAATGCAAAATAGCTTATCTTTCTGACGATGGGAAACAAAAGGCCGGGCTTACTGATAGTTCCTACATCTAGAATACTCTCAAGAGATAAATTTTAAGTTTATTCGTGTTGAAAATAATTGGAGGTGTGTCAAATTACAAAATAAACACATTTGTGTTATCTCTAATAAAACTTGTTTAACCTACCTATCGAAGGCATATACCAGAGTTTGCGTCTTCGATCGATACACACACTTCTTGCTAATTTTTGTTTTGTAAACAGCCAAACAGTTATTGTTTATCAACAAAGTTATTTTCCAGTTAGAATAACCTGTCGATGTCAAACTATTAGTGAATTTGGCAAGAATATGCTTAGTCATGCTACCTTATCTTCATAATGGACAGGGTTCTGTTATCGCGTTTGATTTTCTTAAATGCCGCTGAAGAAAAAAATATGTTCGTTTCGGCTTCCTCTCCTGCAGTTTGAAAAGAGACATTGGCCGGAACACTTACCCTTAAGTTATTGGGAATAGAATTAATTAAATTAAAAATATTAAAATCGTGCATCACCATGTTCAAATCACGCAGCAAACCCACCCAACGTAGCTCCTATGTTATGAAGGAATATGCCGCTGAAGATCCAAATATCCCGCTAAAGAAAAATTGGTCGGAGTCGTGGTGTACCTTGCCACAGGCTTTCGATAATATTCTCAATGACACCCTGACCTATGAAGTGCGTAAGGATGATGTTTTCGTGGTCACGTATATTAAGAGTGGTACCACCTGGATGCAAGAAACCGCCTGGTTGTTGCTGAATAATTTGGATTTCGAGAAGAGTAAACAGTTGAGTTTGACCCAGAGAACTCCATTTATTGAGTGAGTAGACAAATTTTGGATACGAGGTGGATTTTCGGAATTAATTTTTGTTTGTTTTTAGTTTCCATGGCATCACCGACAATGTACCCAGTCTTATTGAGTTCAGCAAAACTCTGCCCAGTCCACGTTTGATTAAGACCCATATGCCAGCCAATTTGGTGCCACAAAAAATTTGGACAGAAAAGACAAAGGTAAGTACATTTTATCTATGTCAAAAGAGATCTTTTACTAGAGATCCCAAAAGGCGTGGATTTTTTTTTAAATATTTTTCTATAGACCTCCACAAGGCGTGGATTTTTTAAAAATATTTTTCTAGAGACCTCCACAAGGCGTGGATTTATTAAAAATATTTTTCTAGAGACCTCCACAAGGCGTGGATTTTTAAAAATATTTTTCTAGAGACCTCCACAAGGCGTGGATTTTTAAAAATATTTTTCTAGAGACCTCCACAAGGCGTGGATTTAAAAAATTCTAGAGACCTCCACAAGGCGTGGATTTTTTAAAAATATTTTTCTAGAGACCTCCACAAGGCGTGGATTTTTTAAAAATATTTTTCTAGAGACCTCCACAAGGCGTGGATTTTTTAAAAATATTTTTCTATAGACCTCCACAAGGCGTGGATTTTTTAAAAATATTTTTCTATAGACCTCCACAAGGCGTGGATTTTTTAAAAATATTTTTCTATAGACCTCCACAAGGCGTGGATTTTTTAAAAATATTTTTCTATAGACCTCCACAAGGCGTGGATTTTTTAAAAATATTTTTCTATAGACCTCCACAAGGCGTGGATTTTTTAAAAATATTTTTCTATAGACCTCCACAAGGCGTGGATGTTTTAAAAATATTTTTCTATAGATCTCCACAAGGCGTGGATTTTTTAAAAATATTTTTCTATAGACCTCCACAAGGCGTGGATTTTTTAAAAATATTTTTCTATAGACCTCCACAAGGCGTGGATTTTTTAAAAATATTTTTCTATAGACCTCCACAAGGCGTGGATTTAGAACAATTCTAGAGACCTCCACAAGGCGTGGATTTAGAACAATTCTAGAGACCTCCACAAGGCGTGGATTTAGAACAATTCTAGAGACCTCCACAAGGCGTGGATTTAGAACAATTCTAGAGACCTCCAAGGCGTGGATTTAGAACAATTCTAGAGACCTCCATTTGGTGCTGATTCTTAAAAATATTTTTCTACAGACCTGCATAAGGCGTGGATTCCTAAAAAAAGATACTTTTCTAGAAACCTTTTTAGGGCGGGGATTTTTTAATTTTTTTTTTTCTAGGGACCTCCATAAGGCTCGAATTCTTAAAAAATATTTTTCTAGAGATCTCCATAAGGCGTGGTTTTTTTAAAATTTTTAAGACGTCTTCAAAAGGCGAGGATTTTAAGGATTAAAAAATAAATTTCCCCATTCTTTTTCCTTTCAGACAATCTATGTTGCCCGCAACTGCAAGGATGTCGTTGTCTCCTCATATCATTTCCTGAAGAATCTCCGCCAATGGCTTGGTGATAATATCGAAGATTTTGTCACCGATTTCCTTAATGATGAAATTTACTATAGCAATTATTGGACACATATTGTTGACTTTTGGAAAATGCGCAACGAGGAGCATATTTTCTTTGTTACCTACGAAGAGATGAAACGTGATTTGGGTTCGGTCATTAAGAGATTGTGCACATTTTTGGGTAGACCCCAACTGTCGGAGGAGGAAATGCAAAAGATTTTGGATTATTTGTCATTCAATAAAATGAAAGGTAAATTTCGATTTGAGATTTTATATTTGAGAATATTTTTTGAAGTGATGGGTCCCAATTTCTTTTCTAGATAATGATAAAACAAATATTACCACCGTTATCAAGGAAACCATTCCCAATGTCGCAAATGATTTTCAGTAAGTAAAATTAAAGTTATAACCATAGAGCTCTCCCATTGCCATCTCCACTAGCTTCTTGAGAAAGGCTCCAAATATCAAAAAATTGAGCGATTTAACCATAATCGAATTGGGGGTTTTCCAGCTGGTGTTTTAGCACATACAACTTCTATATGGTCTCAAAACATCTTCCAGTTGGTTTGAAACATACTTCCCAATTTCAGATTTTAAATCGATTTCGATATAATTTCATATATTTAATGTTTTGTTTATATTCATGGAATTTTATTTAATTTTTATTTCCCAATTTTTATTTACAGATTCATGAGACGCGGCGTTGTCGGCTCCTTCAAGGATGAATTGACCCCAGAACTGCAAGCCAAAATTGACGATTGGTCTCGGAAAATTTTGTCTCAATATGGTCTAACCGAAGAGGATATTTTTGGCAAACTGTAAATCAATTTCGTGCCCTTAGTTATATTAACTAGAAATGGTAATCATTTTTTACAAAAAACTTTTCAAAAAAGATTTTATTTAAAGAAATCTGAAACTACCCAGTTGTACAATAAATATCAATTGTCTGCTATTATATAGTTATATAGCTAGTTACTTGGTGATCTAGTTACTTCATACCCCAAAAAGGAACACAAAATAGACTGTTGGATTTTTTTGTCAACTGAATAAGTTGTTTGCACACATCATACCAATTCAGTAGTTACTGGTAATGCAAAGGGTAATGAATCGACTATCGAAATGACTGTATACTGGTAACGCAGGCAGGGGACAATTGACTTCCCCAATGACATACACATGTTAAATTCACCAGTCTAGGGCATGAAGTGGTAACTAGTGGTACTTACAGGTAATTAGTAAAATATCTAGTTCATCACCAGTTACTCGAACTACTGGGTAGTTTTAGAAATAAAGCCAAATATTTTTTTATATGATTTAAATATTTGTTTATATGAAAGATGGATCAAGATATATACTCTGAATGACAAGTTAAATTTTATATATAATATTTTATATTATATATATATATATATATATAAAGGCTTTGTTTTTTGTTTTAAATTTTTTTTTTTTAAGAAGGATATTTATAAGAAAATATTTTTTTTTTTATTTTTGCGAGCTACAGGACCATGGAGTCTATTTGATATAGAAGAGCTGGAAAGCCTGGGAATGTATTGTAGAGAGACGAGTTGGAGGGTCCGGTTTTCCATTGTCACAAAACACTGTTTAAAACCAGTGAGCGGTGCAGTATAGTCGGACGGGGCCGACCATATGATACCCTACACAACTTCCATGAAAATCTAACTTTCTGTGATTCTATATTCTGAGCTTCGGCAATATATCGCGATATTTGCACCCTTTTGACCGACTAGAGGTCAACAGCACCTCTTCATTACACTGACATATTTTCAGAATATTACTAATATTCAGTACAGCCCTTCTAATTATTTCTCCAGATTCCCTTCACCGTCGGTTATGATGTGATGTTCGGCTTTCAATTGTAGCCTATAGATAGACTTGAAGAAAAAACACAAAAAATTAAGTTTCGGTCCACCTCATGCCAATATTATTATCTGATCATAACCTTGATCCTCATGGACAATTTCAAAGTGATAAGCGTTATATTTCCGCCCTCTAGTGTGGTAATGGCTTACTAAATAATATCTGAATACGTAAGCACCAGTAATTATTTACGTGTAACTCCCACATCCGAGTACATACGACAATATAATTTGTATTAATTTAAAGGCCAACCACTCCTCTTGGATATACTATTAACTTCTCGATTCTATGTGCTTCAGGATTAAATATATATGCTATATAATACAAATTTTGAAAAATTTCACACAAAAGTCAGGGTCCATTTGACCTGCTAAATATTGACCGATCTTTATCAAAACAGGCATGCTTATTCTTTGGCCCGATCCCCTTTTCCATGTAAAAATTCGCGAAGTTATGGCCATAATTGCGGCCTCTGAAACGACCAGCAAATCAGACAAAAATAAAGTTTTTGGTCCATTTCATCCCCCAAACATTAACCATTCTTTTCAAAAAACAATAGGTGTCTTTATTGGCCAGAACCCATCATACATGCAAAATTTCGTGAAGATTGGTCCATAACTGTGGCCTGTATCGTGTTTACAAATTATAATGGACAGACGGACGGACACACATGTCTATATCGTCTCAGCTAGACGAGATGTGACGATCGGTATACTTAAAGGTGGGTCGAGGACCAATATTTCGCGGCGCTACAAACACTTGGGGCTGCACAAAGCTATAATACCATGACAACATAGTTGTGTAGGGTATAAAAATTATAATTATCCAGGGCCTGGATATTTTACACAAAACATTTTTTGAGACCTTAATGCCTTCAAAAAACGAATTTCCTAAATCTTTTTTTTTAATATTAATATAAAATTTGAATTAAAAAAAATTATTTCTTCTAAATTTGATTTAAGTCATTTCAAAATCCTATCCTTCAAAATCCTAAATATTCAAATATGCTCGTCAAGGAGTCTTTCGAAGACCGACTGGCCGAAATATTTGAACTGAAAGGCCAGACAATAGACAATATAAAGATCTGAAGTCTCTATAGTCGAGCTGAAGGGCAAGGAATTCTCCACAGTTCAATCGAAGGCCTAGTGTGTGACTACAGGTGGACTGAATGCTACGTAGTCCTTATATACGATAAATATATTCAACTAGTCTTTATAGAGTCCTAATGGACCAATGTGCTAATGAAGCTGAACAGGAAATCACTGAGTCATTAGAGGCCAACAGCAAAGTGCCAAAAGGACCTTACATGCCAAAATAAAGGACTAAATGGTATACCCAGACGATTAGAAAGACCATCTGTTCTAAAAAGACAATGTGGAGGATAACATGTTCAATACAAATTCGAGCCAAATGGTCAAGGAATTGTCAATAGAATAGCTAAAAGGACAGGCATCAGTAATCACTACAGGCCAACAGAAGTGCCAAAATGTCCTTACATGCCATCAGTTCTATAAAGACAATATAAAGGATAACATGTTCAATACAAATTCGAGCTAAAGGGTCAAGGATATGTCAATATCAATAGAAAGCAAAAAGGACAGGCATTAGTAATCGAAGATCAGGCAGGGAGTCTAATGAGGTTATGTTGTAGGGCTAAACATTTTAGGATGTTTCGAGTGATTAGTCAGCAGCTAAGCCGCCATATTTTGACGATTTATAAAGGAGATCTGAAGGGTCAGCTGTTCTCAAAACAAGAGGGGATACATCGGGTGACCTGGTCCTAGGAAACTATATACAAGCATTAGATTTTTAGGAAGTTTCTGTTGATAAGCTAATCTTTTTGTGAGCCGAGCTGACTTTTTGTAGTTGAGGTTGAAAAAATAGCTGTTCTATATTTTTAGACTCGCGTGTCTATTTTCTTCACTTCGTACAGATATTATCGAAAAAGACAATTAATTTCGACTATGTTAAAACATGAATTTCGAAACATTAAAATAAATAAAAACAATTATATACTATCTTGTAAGCATATCAAATGCCTTATAGCTTATCTCACAAAAGATTAAAACCCTAAAAATTAAAACATTGATATGGGACATGCACATAGTATTTTTCCATTTTTTCGGAGGCTAAAATGTACCCCTTTCAGTTCCAATCTAGAAGCATTAGAAAAAAACATCTAAAAAATCACTCCCTGTTATGTTCCAATCACGTCCCATTAAAACTTCGCGTGCCGCCTTGGAATCTAAACAATATACCACCGAAGGTTCCGATATACCTCTCAAGAAAAATTGGTCAGATACCTGGTGTACATTGACCCATGGTTTCGATAAAGTTCTCCCAAAGTTGTTGGAAATGGATGTGCGTGATGATGATGTCTTCATTGTGACATTTATTAAATCTGGCACGACGTGGATGCAGGAAACCGTCTGGTTGCTAATGTATAATTTGGATTTTGAGAAGAGCAAAGCGTTGCATTTGTGGCAGCGTAGTCCATTTTTGGAGTAAGGACCGATCTGTGTTTTGGGTTTTGATTTATGGGGCAGGATAATAAATGCTTTTATTCCAGCCACCAAGGTCTGAATCCTTTGGCTCCGGATAGCGTGGAGGAAGCTAAACACCTTACCAGTCCCAGAGTTTTAAAAACTCACATGCCAGCCAATTTATTGCCCCTGGATATATGGAAGAAAAAGACTAAGGTAAGTTGGTTCGAAAAAATCGAAAGTATTAAAAATCGGATATTAGGTTTTTTATGTACGAAAATTACTCTGAAGTTCGGTCAGGGAGTCTATTGTCGAGAGATGAGTTTGAGGGCCAGGGAGTCGATTGTCTATAAAAAAGGTTAAGGGTCAGATAGTAAATTGTTTATAGGCCAAGAAGTCTCTCGTCTATAGAAACACAGGAGGGCCAGGGGGTCTATTGTCAATAGACAAACTGGAGGGCCAGAAAGTCCTTTTTCTGTGAACTAGATGAAGGTCCAGGGAGTCTGTTGTCTGTAGAACGGGCCGAATATGCCGGGTCAATGAGTATCTTTTATATGGACTATATAAAGGGCCAGAGGGTCAGTTTTCTTTAGACAACTGGAGGGACAGGAAGTATATTTCTATATTCGAACTATAAGGCCCTAGATTTATATATCAAAACAAAAGATCCATTTTGTAGACCTTGTTTTTAGTTGAACTGACAGCTTTTTTCGAGTGTAACATTACCAAAAAAATTTGAATCTATAAAAATGAATATTATTATCGATAATAAAAATAGAGAGAGAGGCGAGGGCCAGCAAACTGAAAAATTTAGTTTATCTCATAAATCTACCGAATTTCTTATCACTCAAGACACCAGCAAATACAATGACAGAGCGAACATGTCGCTCGCATATCTTTTTATGTGATTTTATGAGTGCTTAGGAAACCACCAAAAAATAAAAGCGATTTACTTTTAGTTATCATCGAGGTCTTGTAGAAATCGGAAAGAAAAATTATTTAAAAAAAATTAAAAAGAAAATGTTAAAATCCCGTCCACTTAAAGCCCCGCGCATTGCCTACGATTCGAAACAATATTCCGCCGAAGGCCAAAATATTCCATTAAAGAAAAACTGGTTGGAATCATGGTGTAGTCTATCGAAAGAATTTGATGGACTTTTACCACAAATTTTAAACATGGAAGTTCGTGACGATGATATCTTCATTGTGACTTTTATAAAATGTGGTACCACATGGATGCAGGAGGCGGCATGGTTGCTAATGCATAATTTGGATTTTGGGAAATCGAAGAGAGAACATATATTTGTGAGAAGTCCATTTATAGAGTAAGAAGAAGGTCGAAAATTCTGAAGTTATTTTTAAGAACACTTATTTCTGTTTTTGTAGCATTCAAGGTTTCAATCCAACAGCACCGAATGCCGTAGAGCAATGCCAAAGCTTAGCTAGTCCTCGTGTCATTAAAAGCCACATGCCACCGAATTTATTGCCCTTGGAATTGTGGACGAAGAAAGCGAAGGTAAGGTATCCGATTTGAGAAAAGAAAGCCTGATCAGTAAACGGGAGGGGCATGTAATTGCATATTAACGAGCTGAAGTGCCAGTGAGCATATATAAAAGAGGTGAGGGCCTGCCATAACATATCCACGAGCTGAGAGGCATGTTTGTCTATATAGAGGAACTGCAGGATATAGGTCTTATATATAGACGAGTTGCAGGGCATACTTTAATATGAAGAAGAGCTACAAGAACAGCTGGTCTATATAGAAGAAGAGATGAAGGGCCAGTTGGTCTATATAGATGAGCTGCATTATCAAATAGTCTATATAGGGGAGCTGCATATTTATCTTGTCTATATAGAAGATCTATATGGAGGAGCTAAAGGGCCAACTGGTCTATATAGACAAGCTGAAGGGTCATCTGTTTAATATAGAGGAGCTGGAGCGTCAGCTGGTCTACACAGAGGTTTATCTAAAGGGCCAGCTGGTCTATATAGAAGCTGCAGTGTGCTACAATGAAGAGCTGCCTCCTGGTTTATATATATATAGAGAGTGCTCAATATAGAGAAGAAAGGACTAGGACTCTATGTTGTATAAACGAATCTACGTCCATGGAAGAGCAGGATGGGTATGAGGGTCTTCCACTGATTACCAGGAGGAACAGGGTATCCGTTTCTATAGACCTTCAGTTCGTCTTCCGTGTCCAGGGATGCTGTTTTCTATTGACAACCTGGAGACTAGACTAGAGGAAGGCAAGGGTGTCCTCGCTCTGATCATTCAGATCTTTTGTGAAAAATAGACTCCTTAGGATTTCAGCTGTTTGAAAATAGCTCCCCTGGTCCTGGGCGGATAAAAAACTACTTCGCAGAACACTTTTCTATGGACCTCCAATTTGTCTAAGGAAATAGATTCCCTGTCCAGGGATCCTGTTTTCTACAGAAAACCTACCTGGCCTCTTTTCCCTTGCTCCGACCTTTAAGGTATCTTGTGAAAAAAAAAACTCTTTAGGATTTCAGCTCATGGAAAATAGACCCTCTGCTCCTGGACGGATAAACAGATACTTCACAGGACATTTTCAGTATAGGTTCATGCTTTGACATAACCCCCATGTGTAATTTGACATTCTGCGTTCTTGCTGCGTAAACAACTGTATTTCAATATAGGTCCAAATCTGACAGAATTCCCCTATAAAGGTTCCAACACCTTTTCGGTATATTGAAGGTTCCGAAGTATTCGACTTGTTCGCACTTTGATAATTCGTTATCACCTAGAATTATATTTCTTCTAGGTTCATGCTTTGGCATAGTTCCATATAAGTTCCGCCATAATCCAATATACGAATTTTAGATGTTATGAATGTCCACTTCATAGTAGAGGATAAGTTCAGTTCGTCCAGACTAAACCCACCTCTTCACTTGTTTTAAATAATAATATGTTTCTTTCTCTCTCTCTCCCTCTCTCTTTCATTCCCCCTCTCTTTCAACCCTCTAGATCATCTACGTTGCCCGCAACTGCAAGGATGTCATTGTCTCCTCCTATCACTTCCTGAAAAATCTCGGTTCCTGGGTAGGGGATAATGTCGATGACTTTGCCAATGATTTTATGAACAATGAGACTATGTATACCTGCTTCTGGACCCACATTGTCGATTTTTGGAAAATGCGTAATGAACCGAATATTTTCTTTACCACCTATGAGGAGATGAAAAAGGATTTGGGTAAGGTAATACAACAATTGTGTGACTTCTTGGGTAGACCACAATTGACGGCAGAGGAATTGGAGAATACGCTGAATCACTTGTCGTTTGAAAATATGAAGGGTAAGGGTGGGGGAAGGAAAAATGGGGATTTTTCAGATTTTTCGGTAAATTGGAAATATTTTTTTTAAGGTAATGATCAAACCAATTTGACGGGGATTTTGAGGGAACAGGTGCCCACAATTAAAGAGGATTTCCAGTAAGTAGAAAGGATTCAAATCGATGGACTATTTTATTGAGATAACATTTGGGTTTTCTTTAAGATTTATGCGCCGCGGCATTGTGGGCTCCTTCAAGGATGAATTGTCTCCTGAGCTGCAAAAGAAAATCGATGATTGGTCTCGTGCCTATTTGGCCCAGCATGGCTTGACTGAAGAAGATATTTTTGGAAAGCTATAAAGAAGCTATGGAAATAGAGGACGATAATAACAATTAAAAATTATGTATAGGAGGCTTGTGAGGCCTCAATGGTTAGGGTCTTGGAAGGAATCGGGATAAACACATAAAGTATTTTTTGTACACATAATTGAAAAAAATCCGATCCATTTTTTCAAATTCGTATTTTTATTATAAAAAAATAAATACAATATTTAAAATATGAAAAAAAAAACAAAATATTAATAAAATAAATATTTAATATAATAATATTTTTTTATAATTATTATAATGATTAAATAAAAAAAAATAAATTAAAAAAAAATCAAAATATAACGTCTTTTTTGTAAATTAATATAAAGCTCTAAACCTGATCTTGATAAAGCTTTTTTTTTATTATTTTTTACGAAATGCATTTTCTAAAAGCTTCACACCTCCATCCCTCTGTCCTCCAGCCAGCCATCCAACCACGCATCCACAACAATGATCTTGCTTTGTTTACTCTCCTCCAACAACCCAAACATCAGTCGCACGTTATGGTCCGCTCCAAACACTCTTACTCTCTGTTACTTCGTTATCAGCCGACACGAAAAGTGACGTATTATCTGCTGCTGCTATTCTTCTCTCTCAGCGTTCTGAGCATATTACTTATCATAGTTTACAGTGCGGGTCTCATTAGCCACAGTGTAGAAAATGTTGCGCTGTTAAGCATTTTCAAACGTTCCGAACAACAGCAACATTCACTTCTCGAGAATCTAAACACAAATCCGCAACAACAACTAGACGTTAACACTAATCGGCAATTACGTGATTGGCATACCCGACCACCACATAGAGCAAAAAATGACGATCAAAAGCTAAGCCAGACTTCAACACAACCACAACCGCCACCGCTGCTGCCATTAAAAATTGGTCAATCGGCCAGGGCAAAGAAACGTTACGACAGCCATAACAATGGCTTAAAGTTAACCGGTTTTAATGTTCGTCTCTCCGAGAGTTTGCCATTGTTGCGGCCGGTACCCGATACACGACATAAAAGGTAAGTGATTTAGTGAGTGAGTGAAGGTGAATGTGTGTGTGTCGATCTGTAGCTAATTTTTTTGCGGGGGGTCATTTAGGCCATTTTAGGTAGGACCGGGGGGCGTAGAGTGTGTGCAAAACATGTGAAGAGGTGCAAATTGCCTCTTTGTTTGTTCAGTCAAAACGTGTGTGGAATTAATCAAATGGGTTAGTTAGGAACTATGTTGCTGGGTGTGTATAGTGTTCGGGGAGAAGGAAGGGGGTTAGGGTTCTAAAAATTATGATCTATTTTATGTGATTTGATTTGTTAAGTAAATAAAAAAGACAGGGGTTTTAAATCGATTTGAAGGCAGCCTATTATAGGCGGGATGAGGGGAAATGGAGACATATCGAAGTGATGAGGAAGTGGATCACTGGCAAACCGATTTGGATACAAAACTATATAACCTAGCCGAGCTCATTTAACCGGAGTTTATTTATAATGGGCTGGATATAGGTACATGGGGGTAGGCTGAATTTTGAGCAAGTCTATTGGCGGTGAATTGATGTTCTGAAAAGAAATGGAATGGAAACAAGTTGGTGTGGCAAGGAATTAATGATATACGAGCTCATGGGTCAGGAGGCCAAAAACCTATAATAGGTGAGGGATTAAGAAGTCTGGTATAGGAAAGCCGAAGATCCGGGGAAATAAAAATCGGGCAAATGACCAAGGACGCCTTATAGACGTCCTTATATAGATGTGAAGAGCCAGCTGGTCTATATAAAGGAGTTGCAGGGTCAACTGGCCTGTATAGACGAGCTTCGGGGTCACCTGGTCTATAAAGACGAGCTTCAAGGTTGGCTATTATTGGCAGGATGAGAGGCAATGGAAGCAAATCGAAGTGGCGAGGAAGTTGTTTAATGGCAAACCGATGTTGAATGGAACACGATTTAACCTAGTGGAGCTGATGTCCCCGGAGTAGACAATGGGCCGGATGTAGGAACATGAAGTCAGGCTGGCTTTTAAGCAAGCCGATTGGCATAAGGGCCAGCTGGTCTATGTAGAGGAGCTGCAGGTTTTTACGAGCTGCAGGGCTAGCGTTCGACGTACTAAAAGTCCAAAGACCGACGATCCAATAGGCCAGAGATCGACGATCCAATAGGCCAGAGATCGACGATGTGAAGAGCCAGTTTTTCTATATCGACGATCTGAAGTGTCTATATAGATGAATTGATGGACTAGCTGGCATATATGTCCGAATAACTGGGAATCGATGTTGTATAAACGAATCTCTCTTCCATGGAAAAGCTGGATGAGTGCTTCCACTAATTAGCTGTATGAACAGGGAATCTGTTTGCATAGACCTCCAATTTGTCTATGTAAATAAATTTCTTGTCCAGGAATGGTGTTTTCTATAGACAAACTGGAGCTCCAGGGGTTTATTACCTATAAAGGGCCAATTGGTCTATACAAAAGAGCTGCAGGATCAGCGGGTCTATATAAAGGAACTGCGGGGTCAACTGGTCTATATAGAGGAGCTGCAAGGGGTGGCGAGGGGGTGTGGAGGCTAGCGATCGATGATCCAAAGGAGCGACTATCTTAAGGGCCAGCGAACGACGATCTGAAGAACAAGAGTTTCTATATCGACGATTTGAAAGGTGTATGTAGTTGAAGGAGCAGCAGGTCAAGATAAAGGGTATGCTGATCTATGAAGAGTCGATTACTAACATCGAATCGTTGGAAAGGTTTAGTGATATATTATGGAAATTTAAGGACCGAGGAATATATTAGTCGAGGAAAATGACAAGGTAAGAGGACATATAATCGGACCAGATCAGTTTAAGCTCCTTTATATTACGGACCAGTTGAAATGTCAGAAAGTCTACCTTAGAAGAGGTAAAGGCAACCTTAGAGACCTAAAAGTATATCTCAAGATGCAGGAGCAGGGAGCTAAAGGGTCTATTAGAAGTAATCTGAAAAACAACATAATGTTACAAAATGTTCATAGGGTTTGTGTATTTTTAGAAGTCCCCTGACTCCGGTCGATTTGTAGAAATGGGTTCCTGCTAAGGTCAATATCTGATTTATCTAAAATCAATCCTCTTTTTCTCAATTTTCCAGCTGCAAATCAAAATTATATCCCGCTATCTTGCCTACCTGCAGTATTATCATTGTCTACTACAATGAAGAACCCTCAGTGTTACTGAGAACCTTACATAGCATATGGAATCGAACCCCAGAAGAACTACTCCACGAAATCATATTGGTCAATGATTACAGCGATAATTTAACTGAAAATCAGCAGAAAGTTCTGCAAAACTATTTAATCGAGAATTTCCCTGGCAAGATACATAACATCAATTTACCTCAAAGGGAAGGCCTAATACGAGCACGTCTTCACGGAGCTCAAAAAGCTAAGGGAGAAGTTCTGGTGTTTCTCGATGCCCATGTTGAGGTAAATGTAAATTGGTTACCACCACTCTTGGCGCCCATTGTGGAGAATCCCAATACCGCAACCACACCCATTATTGACATCATCAAATATGACACCTTGGAATATCAGGGTGGAATGCCCTCGCGGGGTGGCTTCAATTGGCAATTTAATTATGTACAATTGCCGTTGCTGAAACAGGAGGAAGCCATTGATCCTGAACCCCATAATAACCCCATTATGAATGGTGGACTCTTTGCGATGCGGAGGAAATATTTCTGGCATTTGGGTGGCTATGATCGAGGTTTGGAAATTTGGGGTGCCGAACAATATGAATTGAGTTTTAAGCTGTGGCTATGTGGTGGACGTTTGTTGGAGGTGCCATGCTCCAGGGTTGGACATTTATATCGATCACCAGAATTTGCTGTGAGCTATACGAAGCGAAAGGATGATTTTATATCGAAGGTAAGGGTGTACAAAAATATATGATTTTATTTATTTCTAATGATCTGAATTTTTTATAGAACTACAAACGCGTAGCCGAGGTATGGATGGATGAGTACAAGGAGTATTTGTATGAACACATACCCAAACTCAATCAAATCGATGCTAGCAATTTGACAAAACAAAAACAATTAAGGCATGACTTAAACTGCAAGCCCTTTAAATATTTTATGCAGACTATAGCCCCCGATTTACTCAAAGCCTATCCTCCCGTCAAACCTCCCGATTTTGCCAGCGGTGCTATACGAAGTTTGGCCCTCCGGGACCTCTGCATAGATATGGCTGATGTGGAACCTCGCCATAAACTGGAAAATATCCTCAAACCCTGTTCACCAGACTTAAAATATCCTTACGATTCCCAAAAATGGCATTTGGGATTTCGTCGTGATCTTCAACATCATGGTAATTGTCTGGAGGTCCAAACATGGTCTGCCAGAGCACCCATATGGCTATGGCCTTGCCATAATCGTGGTGGTAATCAATGGTGGTATTATGATAGGAATACGGAAATGTTGGTACATGGTGGCAGAGAGAAATATCGCCAGCGTTGCATGGAAGTGGAGCGGGAAACGAAGAAGATTTTCGTTAATTTTTGTGATCTCACGAAGCTGGAACAGAAATGGCATTTTGGTTATGTTAATGAAACGGCAATGGAGAAGTTTTTTGATGATGATTAATAAATTTTGGAAATCCTGTTATAAGGATAATAAAAATAAATTATTTAAAATGAGTTTGCGAAGGTTCGGGGGAAATAATGTAAATAACCAAAGGGTATGGGATTTACATAAGGGCTAAGGACCCTGGGAGTGTATATTGAAGCGCTGAGGGCTCGGAAAATAAATATAAACGATCCAGCGGCCCAGCAAGTCCATGTAGTGAGGGGTCAACGAGGCTATATGGAGGAGCTGAAGGGACAGGGGCTATATAGAGGATCTGAAGGGACCGTATAGACCAGTTCAAGGGTCATAGACTAGCCGAAGGACCACTGAGTATATACAGATGAGCTGAATGATCTATGAGTTTATATAGACAACCTAAAGAGCATATACATGCGAACTGAGGAGACAGTGAGTCTGTATGGAGGAGCTGATGCTCACTGAGTCCATATAGATGACTGAGGGGACATTGAGTTCAAATAGACGATCTTAGGGGTCAGTGAGTCTATATAAACAGTCTATATAGGCGAGCTGTGGGGTCAGTGAGTCCATACAGACGAGTTGAAGGGCCAGTGAGTCTATACAGATTAGCTGAGCAGCTAGTGAGACTGTTTAGAGGAGCTGAGGGCCAGTGAGTCAATATAGATGACTGAGGGCCAGAAAGTCTATATAGGCGAACTGAGGGGTCAGTGAGTCTATACAGACGAGCTGAAGGTCCCATGAGTCTATTTATACGAGCTGAGGGGTCAGTGAGTCTATATAGACAAGATTAAGGGTCTGTGAGTCTATACAGACGAGCTGAAGGGCGAGTGAGTCTATACAGACGAGCTGAGGGACCAGTAAGTAGATACAGGCGAGCTGTGGAGCCAGTGATTCTATGGAGACAAGTTCAAGGACACTGAGACTATACAGACGAGCTAAGGGGCCAGTAAGTCGATATAGATGAGCTGAGGCGCCACTGAGCCCATATAGCTGAGCTGATAAACCAGTGAGCCAGTATAGGCTAGCTGAGGAGCCTGTGAGTCTATAAAGGGGCAAATGATCCTATATAGGCGAGCTAAGGGGTCTATGAGTCTATAAAGGGCCAGTTAGTCTATATCGGCAAGCTTAGGGGTAAGTGAGTCTATATAGAAGAGCTGAAGGGCCAGTTAGTCTATACAGATGAGCTAAGGGGTTTATGAGTCTATAAAAGGGCCAGTGAGTCTGTATAGGTGAGCTGAGGGGCCAGTGAGACTACATAGCCGAGCTGAGGAACCAGTGATTCTATATAGAAAACAGTGGAAGCATATAGTCGTTATAGGTGAGCTGAGATTCCAGTGCCTATATAGATGACCTGAAAAGAACTCTATGTCTATTTTTTCATATACATATTCCGATATATTTGTAATACTTGGAATGAGCACCTCACGATGAAACCAATAAAAACTCGACTAAGCCCAACTTGTTTTTTTCTTTATTCAATCCGCAAAATTTTCTCCGCTTCAAAATAAAAATCTCAGCCTCCTGTCATGTGAATTTTAGCACAATCTCGAGAATCATTCTGCATAATCAAAACTAAGTGTTATTTTTTTGCTGATTACGTTTTTGTTGTTGTATTATCATTTATTGTTAAAGTAAATATTTACCCAAATTTTGTGACATACAAAAGAAACGGAACTCAAACCCAAAAAAGTGGAAAATCATTCGTTACCACTGTCAACAACAACCCAAAAATAAATCCCCCAAAAAATATTCGATGACGAAGGACAGATTTTATGCGGAACTCTCAAGTGGTTTCTCGCAATGTGTGTTGACACAAGGAATTACGTTCGAGTGCGATGAGAGATGAATGGATAATGCGATGATGATGCTGACGCTGAATGGGTTTGCTATGATGGAAGCTGGAGTTCGGTAGCAGCAATGCCTTCGAATTTAAACAAAGATTCCAATTGAAATTGTATTGTCATTGATATTTACAAAATTTGGCCTCCTCTTTTTTCATTCCAATACGGATTTCAATGGAATTTGTTTGTTGAAATTTGTGATGTTGCTGTTGTTCGGTTTGGTTAGGTAAGTTCTGTTTTGATTTTGTATTATGCTTTTCAACCGGATGATGTTTGTTTAGAAAACAAGAAAAAATATTCATAAATGTATGTATTATGAAAATATTGAAAGCAATTTTGGACAATTACATTTTTTAATTGTTGGCTTAGATGACATGGATTATAATCACTGGGCTACAGTGGCGCCCAACATTTTATAGAACAACACAATTATTTTTATAACGTATTTGCATAAGTTTTCCTAAGCAATTAACATTAATATCTCTTTGGAGTCTAGCCATAATGTCCATCAAGGTTTTAATAAGAATTCTCCCCCCTTCCCCTCTCTCTTGACACTTTACCATATCCCACACCACAGTTTATGCTTCTCATTCTCATATTTTTTGCAATTTCGTATTTATTTGCATTTTACTGTCCCTATTTGCATAGCTCATTAACACAAGCTATGTGGTGGTGGCCATGTGCCGATGTTAATTGGCAAACGATCTCGTGAATTGACGTTATCGAAAACAAAATTATGAATGGAATTGAACGGATGAATTAAGAATCACAAGGGGTGCACTGAAAATGTTTTTTTGTTTTTTTTTTTTGGTTCGTTTGTTGTTGATCAAATATTGCGTACTTGCTAAGTTTATGGGCAAATAAATTGCTGATAATCTACAGTAATCCCCAGAATGGTAGTTTGGCGTCAACAATAGATGAAGGCTATTAAAGAGAATTTAAATGAGGTACAGAAGTACTCAAATGATTATCAGCGGTAAAAAATTCGGAGAATATAAGGAATATATTATTTTAAATGTTGTCACAAATTAAATTACTGGTACAGCTCGTATATATTTCTGAAGGGTCAGTGAGTCTATATAGATGAGTTCAGAGCCCAGGGAGTCTATATTGCCGTGCTGAGAAGCTATTGAATCTTTTCGACGTGAGTGAGTCTATATAGAGGAGCTGAGGGTCCAGTCATTCTATATTTACGAGCTGTACATAGTCTATATGGGCTAGCAGAGGATCCATGAGTCTATATAAAGGAGCTGAGGGCCACTTATCCTTTATAAACGAGCTAACGAGCTAGGAGCTAGTGAGTCTGTATAGACGAGTTGAGGGGTTCATTAGTCTATATAGACGAACTGAGGGTTCAGTGAGTCTGTATAGACGAACTGAGGGCTCAATGGGTCTGTACAGACAACCTGAGGAGCCAGTGTGTCTATAAAGACGAGCTGTAAAGCCAGTGATTATTTTTTTTATAAAAACAACAAACTGGGATTCAGCCTGACTATTTTACAAAAACAAAATGCCAGTGATTATATTTAAAGGAGCTGAGGGGCCTGTGAATTTATATAGACGAGCTGAAGGACCAGTGAGTCTATATAGACGAGCCTATGGACGAGCTGACGGGCCAATGAGTTGAACTAAGGTCAGTCAGTATATGTAGACGATCTGAAGCAGGTAAGTTTATATAGACGAGCTGAGGGACCCGTGCTGAGGAGCCAGTAAGTCTATGTAGATAAGCTGAGGGGCCAGTGATTCTATATATACGAGCTGAGGAACCAAGGGCCAAGCTGATGGGCCAGTGATCCTATATAGAAGAGCTAAGCAGGTGGCTCAGTAAATCTATATATACGAGCTTGGGGTCCAGTTACTCTATATAGACGATCTTAGGGTCCAGTTACTCTATATAGAAGAGCTGAGGGGCCAGTGGGTTTATATGAACGAGCTGAACGAGTTTAATGCCAGTGGGTCTACGTGAAGGTGCCCCTGAATTCATATGCACGACCTGTAGAGCCAGAGGCCGCATAATTTCATATTATCTGATCAGTTGTAAGACTATCATGTTGTCGTAAGACTTTCAAGTTGTTGTAAGACTATCATGTTGTTGTAAGAATATCATTCGGTGGATTACCATATAGCAGTAACACCCCATTTCGGTAATCTGTAGGTCTTATCTGTATATTTTAATGTATATTAATGTATTCCGCGTTCTTAATTGTTGCACAAAATGTTCAATATATGACGATATTTTACGTAGATCTCATATAGATCCCACTTTAGGTGGTTCAACCGCATGTTCCAGTCGCAGTGGCTTTTATTTGGCATTCTGAGTTCTTGGTGGGTAAAAAACTTCCTTCGAGAAATTGTTCATATTTTTTCATAGTCCTCATGTAAAGGTTTCGCCCCATTTTAATTATTTTCATGGTCCTAACCCCCATTTTCCAATCGAAGTAGTTGAAATTTGGCATTCCGAGTTATTGGTGGGTATAGAACTTTTTCGATAAAAAATCAGTATAGGTCTATTTTTTACATAAATCCCATATTATATTCCCGCCCACTTGCAATACAATGAGTGTCTGTAATCTGTTATACGGAGGACAAAATAACTTCTGACAGTTAATCTATAATAACGCCTATAAAAATGTCCCGACCTAGTTTACGAACTTTGAATGCGTATCTTAAGGTGGTGGTATACAAACCTAAACAAAACGACCTTTTAACTCTTTTTTTTTTTTTTTTGGTTTAATCTTGTGAATCTTCTGTTTATACCATAGAAGTCCATATAAAACCTCACACGACAATAAATCATTCAAATGCAAAATACCACGCAATATCGTTACATTTCAAACAATTCCTAGCCCACAATGCAACCAATAAAATTTCAAATCATTTAGGAGATGAACAGCGATTGTAATGACCCACTAATTAGTTGTAGGCATGGGGCTATTAATTTGCTTATCTAAGAAAAAAACAACAACAGCCGATGGATTAATAACATCGAAACAATGGTGATTAGGGCCCCTAGTACATTTTTTATGCATATTTCCAAAAAATCAACAACGGAGTAGGAGTTAATTAATCATTGTTTTGTGTTTGGTATTGTTGTTGTTGCTTTGAAATTTATGACAAATTTCCTATGTGGTTGCAATCAATCCATTGATGAATGAAAACCTCCGCAAATCGATTCATTTGTTGATACTTCTTCTTCTT